GGATAAATATCTTAATTATCTCGAGGATTCAGAGACTAAACTCACCGATGGGTGTTAAATTCTTATGCACAGAAATAGCCGATCACGGACAGTGCAACTCGGGTTTCAGGAGTCCTCCTACAACCACATCTCTCATTAGACACTCATCCTCAAGTCTGCATAACGTCTCTCACTCAATGAATCACTCACCAACATAAATGACTTCATCGCTCATAATTCTGGAAAACGATGATTGATCATTGACAGGACATCAGATAAATCCAACTGTGAAAAACATGGGACGGCTTGGTTATGTTGCCCAGTGTAAAAATGTGCTCACACATAAATAAAGTTCCAGGTCCATCGGACACTCACCAAATTCTTCAGAGAGAGAGCACAAATAAAACTAAACTAAAATATCCATTGGAATTGAAGTATCACTCAATAAAAGTACGGATGATTCCAGATTAAAACAGATTAAAATCACAACTCTGCACTCCTTCACAGTTCCAGCCTGACTGACTGACGGAATCCGGAAGCTGCTTCCGTTTCGCCGGAGTATGAGAACCTCAGAGGTACTCAGGAGACAAATGACGGCTCGGTATGAGAAATCTGAGGGGCGGGCGATTCAAACCGGGTAGCGTGAACGTTACACGAGCTCGTTGACGTGGTGCTCGCGGACGCCGTGCTCGTGGACGCCGCCGTGCTCGTGGACGCCGTGCATCATGCTGTGCGCGTGGACGCCGTGCTCGTGGACGCCGCCGTGCACGTGAACGCCGCCGTGCTCGTGGAAGCCGCCGTGCTCGTGGACGCCGTGCATGCTGTGCTCGTGGACGCCGTGCTCGTGGATGCCGTGCATGCTGTGCTCGTGGACGCCGTGCTCCTAGACGCCGTGCTCGTGGACGCCGTGCTTGTCGACGCCGTGCTCGTGGACGCCGTGTTCGTGGACGCCGTGCTGGTGGACGCCGCCGTGCTCGTGGACGCCGCCGTGCTCGTGGACGCCGCCGTGCTCGTTGACGCAGTGCTCGTTGACGCCGTGCTCGTGGACGCGGTGCTCGTGGACGCCGTGCTCGTGGACGCCGCGCTCTTTGACGCCGTGCTCGTGGACGCCGTGCTCGTCGACGCCGTGCTCGTGGACGCCGTGCTCGTGGACGCCGTGCTCGTGGACGCCGTGCTCGTCGACGCCGTGCTCCTTGACGCCGTGCTTATTGACGCCGTGCTCGTGGACGCCGCCGTGCTCGCGGACGCCGCCGTGCTCGTCGACACCGTTCTCGCGGACGCCGTGCTCGTCTTCGCAGTCGCGGTTCGCGCTGCATCCTGGGCGGTGCGGTTTTTCGACGCTGCTTCATTTATTTATTTGTTTTCCCTTTCCTCTTTTTGGCGCCGCAGGCAGCAGGCGCGCGTGGTGCGCGAACGATTACATCCTCTGGCGGCGGATTTGGCGCGCGGCCGGAATGCGGGAAAGGCGACGACACTTATAAAACAATTCGGCCGGCGCGCACATCGCGCGTCTTGCTTTAATTAAAATGGCACAGCGCGCTGCTGGGGGTCCACCGGAGAGGAGAGGGGGGGGGGGAGTTAAAGCGGACAGGGGCGGCGGCGGCGTTGAAGGGTGGAATATGCGACGGGGTCGTTGGGGGCGGCGCGACGGCCGGCCCGAAGTGGAGTCGGGGACTTGTTGGCATATCGCGGGAAAAGGGGAGAGGGAAGGGGGAGGGGGCAACGTTTCGCCTTAATTACCGTGATGGCACATTCGCCGGGAAGTTGCCTCGCTGCGCTCTTCCCTCGCCTTGTCGTCAACAGCCGCCGTTTTTATTTTTAATACTTCCATGCTTATGCTGGGGGAACAGCTTCCCACATTCGTTGTACAAAATTTGACCACATTCCACATTCAGGTGGCAAAAACGCCTGTAAGTAGGCAACATGTGTGACAAAAACGTCAGAAATCTTGCAAATTCTTGCACATTCACACAATCATTGTACATAAAATTTTGCAGTGAGTCACCCCTCGTATGCTCCCCTCCCCCCTTTTTCCCCTTCACGTCCTGTTCCCCCTCTCCTTTGGCGCTTGCGTCTTTTGGAAGGGGGTTGGTGCGGTTTTTATCCATCGGCCGAAGCCTCTCGTTTGGGTGAGCGTTCCTCCCCCGGGTGGGCCCTCCCTTGCTGTCTGTCAGGCCGGCGGCCGGGTCCTCATGATAATCTCCCCGGATTGCGTGGTTGGCACCCTCTCTCTGTGTCTCTCTCTCTCTCTTTCTCTATCTGTCTCTGTCTCTCTCCCTTTCTCCCCCTCTCTCCCTCTCTCTTCTCGACGCCCACCGGACAGTGCAGTGGCTACTCACAGTGGCGGTCGGTCGCGTATGAATGCATTGTATGTATTTGTGTTTTACTAGGGGTTTTGTGCCGCGGTTCGTTTCCGTGTTTCTTTGGCGCGGCGATTTTTCTTTTGGCTGCTTTGGCGATGCTTTGGCGATGCTTTGGCGATGCTTTGGCGATGCTTTGGCGATGCTTTGGCGATGCTTTGGCGATGCTTTGGCGATGCTTTGGCGATGCTTTGGCGATGCTTTGGCGATGCTTTGGCAATGCTTTGGCGATGCTTTGACGATGCTATGGCGATGCTGCAAACAAGCGCAGAGCGGTGTCCCCTCCCTGACCTTTCCCGCGAACCTGCCTGGCATTTGGACGACCTGCCGCCAGATTCCGAAGAATGGTTTCGTCGCTCTGACTCTCTCGCACTCACAGGGTGTTCCGCAGCGGTGCGAGAGAGAGAGAGAGAGAGAGAGAGAGAGAGAGAGAGAGAGAGAGAGAGAGAGAGAGAGAGAGAGAGAGAGAACAATGTCTCGGAGCCATAGGCGGCCGACCGACCGGCACACGCGGCGCGCGCACTTACAGCGGGCTGACTCTCCAAACAGCACTTTCGTTGACCTGTCTCTCTCGCACCCCTACGGAACGCGCCCGTGAGTGTGCGAGAGAGACAGGAGCGTCGAAGCACTGTTGGCGCAAGCGGCCCGCAGTGCCCGTATCGTACCTGTGCCGCCGTGCCCCGTGCCGCGCGGACCCCCATCCTGCTGACTGATTCCGAGAGTCCGTTTTCATCGCTGTCTCTCTCTCTCGCACCTGTACGGGACGCCCCACGAGTGCGAGAGAGACAGAGCGGCGAAGTCTCTCGGAGTCAGTCTGCTGCCACGCCGCCCCGACCTTGTTCGCTGCATTGCTGGGGGCACAGCACGGCGCTTGTACTACGAGGAGGGCAGCCCGTGCTTCGTCGTCGCTCTGTCTCTCTCGCGCCCCCCGCGAGGCCCGCCGCCCCGTGACTAGGGTTCTAAAAAAACGTGAAAATTATTTTTGATGAAAAAAACCATGGAAAAAAACGGTTTTTTTCCGAAAAAAACGGAAAAATATATTTTGATTTGAAAATTGTTTGAATCGGTGGCGGGAGTAGATAAGACTCAAATGGTTGCAGAAACAGAGCTCCTGTCGGGAAATAATTAAATTTTACTTGAATTGCACTTAAAATGTGAAAAAAAGCTGTTATTTAATGGTTTCGCTTTTCTTAATCAGTAGAAGACTTATTGAGAGCGATCTATCGCTATTCCTCATGCTTCCATGCCTTTTTCAAAGTGGGTCCCTTGCTCCAATGCTTTATACCTTTCTATTCGAGTCGATTGGAAACCTCAAAGCTTCAATTTACGTCCATTTATATTTTTCATATTTTTCGAAAAGTAAAGCGATGAAAAGAAACCGAAAAAAACCGTTTTTTTCGCAATTTTTCCAAATATTTTTCACGCTTTTAGAACCCTACCCGTGACTTCGAGAGAGACAGACATAGCGAGCGACAAGCGCTCTGTTCGGAATCAGCCTGCAGGCCAGGCTGTGTTGGGGATGCGGGAAGTTTGTCGTGCGTGGTACGGTACACTGGTACACTGGTTCACCACCACACTGCAAAGTGCAAGTTCGCTGGGCGCTGTGTCCTGGAGTGCGGCCGGCTTGCCGCGGGCAGGAGAGTGAAAGGCAGAGCCCGGCAGAGCCCGACCCGTCTCGCTGCGCCCTGCTAGTAACTCGATCAGGCGCATGCCCTACACTGTCAGAAACTGATTGGAAAATCCTGCAGAGTGCGTTCCAAAAGCTCCGTCGGGAATTTTCGGACGCTTCGTTTTTCAGAAAAAGGTATTTTGTGTACCATACCTGTCGGAAACTCACACAAAAGTGATTTGGCAATTTTTTTCGAGAAGATGGTTCTCCACGAACGTCTAAAGGGTCGAATTTTAACAGTGCGCCACTGCGCAGTGCCCCGCAGCCTCAAACCGCATTCGAGGAGCCGTCGAGCCGTCGCCAAGCCAGCGACGTCAACCAGTGCAGGCGGCGACGGACGGACGACGAGTTTTCTTTGACGACAAAGTTTGTACATCCGTTCGTCCTGCTTGGCAACCTTTGGTCGTCCGCTCCGCTCCTGCACTGCGAGGAAAGGAAAGGAAGGATCAGCCCCACGGCTCGCATGGCGGCGGCAGAGGCGTAGGTACAGCGCGCGCTTTTTGTGGCCCGGTGCTTTTGTTGTTGTTGTTGTTGTTGTTGTTTTGGTTCTTTTACGGTCGTGCCCCCTGCAGCCCCAGCCACTCCGTCATCCGTTCGATACCCGTCTATCGGGTTACTTCCCCGCCACGCCACGCTAAAGCCCCCGGTGGCCCCCGGCGGGCACGCCCCGCCTGACCTCTGACCCCCGACGACGCCACCCCCTGGCGCCCCGTCGCCCCGTCCGCCTCCGTCCGGCCTGTCCAGCCTGCAGGCTGATTCCGAGGGTCGTTTTACGTCGCTCTGTCTCTCTCGCACTCGTGGGGCGTCACCTGTTGGTGCGAGAGAGACAGAGCGACGAAAACGACTCTCGGAATCAGTCTTGCTGCAGGCTGATCCCGAACACTTTCTTTCGTCGCTCTGTCTCTCTCGCACTCGCGGGGCGCTCCAGTGAGGGTGCGAGCGAGAGAGGCAGAGCGTGGCCTCGCGATACGGAAGCACTGTTGGGAGGGAAGTGCACGGTAAAATCGGTTCCTGGTTTTCCCAGGAACTCCCTGGAAATTGCTTATGCCTTCACCATTGGCTTCCTGGGAAAACCAGGCTCCGTTTTTACCGTGTGTGAGGCTGCAGCCCGATTCCGAGAGTCGTCGCTCTGTCTCTCTCGCACCTATACGGGACGCCCCATGAGTGCGAGAGAGAGAGACAGAGCGACGACTCTCGGAATGAGTCTGCAGGGCGCTGGGTCCAGAGGCCCTTTGACACTGCCGGACTGCCGGCATCAGTATGCAGCGGGCGGCGGGTGGCGCGGCCGCTCGGGAGAATAAGAGCGCGGCGTGTGGCCTGGAGCCACCAGTGCCCACCAGTGCCGCGGCGTCGCTCTGTCTCTCTCGCACGCACGCGCGGCGCTCCGGGAGTGCGAGAGGGACAGAGCGACCACGGCACTGTTCGGAAGCAAGCTGCCGCCCCGCCGCCCGGCCCTGTGGCATGCTAAATACACTGGCAAGCGGCCCAGGACGACGGCGACGGTCGAGGGGCCGAGGGACCGCTTCTCAAAACGCCGCTCTGGAAAGGAGAGCGCGCCGCGTCCGCCGTCGCGTCGCAGTGCAGCCGCGGCTCCGT